GATGCGGGGAGGGGAGAAGGTAAGGGCATTGAGGGACTAGAGGTGGGAGGGGGAGGTGCTGGGAGAAGGCTTGAAAGAAGGGGTGGGCATGAGGAAGGAGCAAGGCATCTGTGAGGGCACAGGGGCATGAGGGGAACAGGGGCAGAGGGTGATGAGGGGGTGGGTATCGGAAAAAGAGAGCAAAGGGGGCAGGGGCAGTAAGGGAAAGGGGAGGCACCAGGAGGGTGTAGGTGTCAAGGGAGGTGGGAGGGGGAGGTGCTGGGAGAAGGCTTGAAAGAAGGGGTGGGCATGAGGAAGGAGCAAGGCATCTGTGAGGGCACAGGGGCATGAGGGGAACAGGGGCAGAGGGTGATGAGGGGGTGGGTATCGGAAAAAGAGAGCAAAGGGGGCAGGGGCAGTAAGGGAAAGGGGAGGCACCAGGAGGGTGTAGGTGTCAAGGGATTCTGGGGGTGAAGGGCAGACACCTGCAGGAGAGGAACCATCACCAGAGGAGAGAGGCAGGGCAGGTGTGTAGAGGGAGGTTTTAAGAGAGGGGATGAGGAGAGGTAGTTCACACGATCAGAGTGGGGTCATGATCAGAGTGGGAACAGGGGGGAGAGAAGGGCTGGGGGAGTGGGGCAGGTCTCAGGAAGGCTGAGGGCGGTGAGAAGGGCAGGAGTCAGGAGAGCAGAAGAGGGTGAGGGCTTGGGGGGCAGCAGGCACGAGGGGAGCTGATGGAGCAAGGGGAGATTTGGCAGCAGAAGGAAAAGGTAGCAATTTATAAGATATTTATTAATAACAGTGGCACATCCAAACAAGCCATATGAACTCAGTACTGGTGTACAACACAAAATTCAATCTGCTCATGGGAGGAAACTCTTAGAGGGAACACTTCCCCCAGCCTCTCTGCCCCCGAGTTAATGTCACACACATTGAGTTAATGCAACTGCAGGATAGTTGCATAAGGGGGGTTTGGTGGGGGCCAAACTAATTCCTATTGGTAGGAGGATAGTGGGCAAAGTCCTTAGAGGGGGGTCACATGATACCTTTTACTCTGGTCACGTGTCCATCTTGCCCCGAGAGTGTTACCTCTAGAGGTGTGGCCAATGGGATTTGGGGTGTGGCCAATGGGGGTCGGGGCGTGGTTAACAGGGGTCAGGGGCATGGCTAAGGGGGTCAAAGTACATTTTAAAAAAATTCTTCGTGTGCACACCCTAATGAAATGTGCTGCGCATGCCTATGAAGTCAGCTAATATCATTCCAGTTCCTGCATATACAATCTCCCCCCAAATCACACCCACAAGGACCTAGGGGCTCTTGTTACCCTGGGACAGTGTAAAACAAGAACTTAAGTGAGTAGACATAATCTGAGCAAAGGCATGTGTACAGGGATCATGACTAAAACCCAGGTCATACACATGTCAAAGTGTGGGCCTTCCCCTAACCTACAGTCTCACCTGTAGAGCCTCTGTGGGTCTTTGTTCACAGAATCTATGAATTAACTCTGACTTTGAAAGGAAGCCAGGGATGATGCAGGGAATTTCTCCATGCTCCCTCTGCTGGGCAAATTTGGCCTGGATAAAATGTCCAATCTGAGTCCTTGAGCTGCTCCACTTAAGTCCATGGCAGTTTACCAATGAGTTCAATGGGAACATTATGTGGCCCTGTGAACAGTATACTGTGCTGGACATGCCTTAATCCCAGTAGATTCCAGACCTTGCAAAGCTCTCTCTAACAATATAAGCTTCAAATCATAATACCATCTACATGTTTTGTTAGTCTGTAAAGTGCTACCAGACCATTTGTTGTTTTTTTAAGTTTATCTAAAAATATACCCATTGCTATTTTTCAATTGCAGATACAGATTGGAAAGTGATTAAACATCCCCTTTGTTTCTGTCAAGGGCATATGCTTTGTCTCCTCCTCATCACCTCATGCAAAAACCATAAAACAACAGCTTTGCTCAGGGAAGGGAGTGATTTATGTAATTTAGCCTTTGCAGTTCTTTGCCGCAATCTAAAGCTGTATCTCATCCATGCAATTTTGCAGCTCTAATTATGAGTCCTAGGGATCTGTATACTTTCAGATAGACCAAGTATTTCATATGGTGCAGTGAGTCACTCGATGGAGGGGCACTATCCCATGTTCATTAACTGCAGTCCTTGAGGCACTTTTGAACTCACCTTTAAGAACATGTGGCACTTTCCTAGGGCTTCAATGATCACTTTACCTTCCAGAGCTATGCCACTCCTTTTGTAGATGCTTCCCTGCAGGAACGTATTGGTAGCTGTTGAATACCTGTAGCTGTATCTGGATCCCGTGGAGAAATTCAGCTCATTGTGTTCTAGGAAACAAACAAACAAAAATGCGGTGTGCATGTCTATATTTTATCAGCAATGGTAGATTTAGGCCATTTTGGCACCTGCTCCCTTTTAGGCCCATAATGGAAGTGGTCAGATTTTCAGGAGTATGAAGACCCCCCAGGAGCTCCTGCATGGAGGGCAAAGGGGAAAGTTTTGGCTTTCTTCCTCCAGCACACTCATTTAGGGCTCAGCCTCAATGTGGCCCATAACATCCAAAGCCCTGTAGTGTTTCCCACCACCCAAGCAGGCTATTTTTGATGACAGTGACATGAGACCACCTAGACCACCTTTTCTTTATGAAGTACCCCTTTAAAAAAAAAGTACCCCCAGTACCTACAGTTTTCAGACACACACAAACTGTTCTATCGTTGCAACACATTTGCTTAAACAAGTTAATCTTAGCCGGGCGGGTGATGACATTTGTGGGTGTAAAAAGTACGAAAATAATAAAGCGTTGTAAAACTTAAAACAAAAATTCAGTTTTCCACATTTCGGTTGTGACGACGTACCCCCCCAAACTTCTCTCGAGTACCCCCGAGTGTACTCGCACCACTGGTTGAGAAACACTGGTGTAGAGTAGGGCTTGGGGAGGCAAAATACTTACAGTGATGGGAGAAGCTCTCCCATCAGCATAGGTAGTTGTCCTCACTAATGTTTTGTCTATACACTGACAATTGAGCAATAAAGCTTTTGTTATTCACAGATGCTTAATACTCACTTTTGAAACAAAAAGCCAATTTAAACAAAAAAAACCAAACCCCTAGCCATTTCATTTCAACATTGTCAGAATTTTTTTTTACCTAATTTTCTTCTGAGCAAAATTTTGGCAGAATTCACGATTTCAACAAAGCTGTGTTTTACTGATATATAAGTTATGTGTAATGTAAAATGCTACCCTTGATTTCAGAGAGAAAGAATAGCAGGCAAAACAATGAAAAAAGCAAACAGCAAACGGTGATGGCAGGGCAGGGCTAGAAAAACGTGTACAGTGAGGGTGTTGAGAGCCATTGAACCAAATTGCAAATCTTGCATATGAGGGAAACCACTTCAAGCGAGGGGAGTGCAGCAGCACCCCCAGCACACCTTGTTAAAGCACTTATGGCTATGCCAGGATTAATATGGATTAATATGCCTATGCCAGGATTAATATGTTTGCTCTATCTTGGAAACATGGAATCTTGCTGCTTGCAAAATGTCTTCATCTATTTTACAGGTACTTGATGAATGATTCAATTTAAATGACAATGGGGCTTTAATGAAAACTGTGATCTGATTGCATGACTTGGATATCAACCCATGTAATTATCTTCTGTTGCACACACGCAACTGGAAAATATTGCTTCTTCCACTACAATCCCATAAAAGATGTGTAATTTAAAACTGCCACTTAATTGAAATTAATTGGTTAGTTCATATATGGTGAGCTGCCTCTACTGAAAAAAGTAAAAAATGCTAATGTATGTCATAGACGCTATACTGCTAGAGTCTAAAAAGATTCTCCTTTAGTACAGATTATTGTAAACTATGCTTAAGGTTTGGAGGATCAAAGCTGTGACCCTTCTGAGAGCTTGAGTTCTGGTGGCCAAAGCATGCCACGGTAAGACAGTAACAGTGGTCAAACTCCTAAAAGAACACAAATTTGTGGCATTATATCTTAGTAATGAGACGACCAACATAGAAGCAGGAGAGTTTGATTAAAGCATTCTCTCTTGCATCAGGCCAAGTGGCTGCTGAGGAAAGATGGCTACATTTCCCTGCTTACTTATCATTTGCTCCACCTGCAGGCTCAGTGGAGGATTGAGAGCCCTTTAAAAACAAGAGGTTTGTGTTAGCAACTGGGAGATTGGATTGGAGCACACCAGTGGTGGCTGTGCAGGACATGGGATCAGAGTGCTCTCTGATGAGTCTCCTATTGTTGTTCTGTAATGGAGCCATGTGCACTCAAGTGCCTGCTGCCAGCCTTACTGAGACATATGTACAAGCAGCCAACCAAACTTTGAATCTGTGGCACACCAACAGGAGCAACAACAAGGTGCTGTGGAGGGAGTGCTAGGCCTTTCTCCTAGCTTGATACTGTGCAGGTAATGGTGGGATGTGGAAAGACTCAGCACAGGGCAGGATTTTGCATTACATCTGTTGTAGCACACCATAGGCTAGCTTTCATGTTTGTGTGAGCTGAGTCTAATGTACAGCAACTTGGGGCAACATAATATTCAGCAATGCTAGGCAGTTAATATAAATTAACTCAATATCAGTAAATCCCAGCTCAGCTATTACTATCATCCTTCCAGTGAACCAATGCTCACTGAAAAGTCCAGCATGTTACAAAGAGCAGAGTCGTGTGGTGTGACTATAAATCTGCTCTAAATACCAGTTTGGCCTTACTCACCAGCACAGTCAGTCATACAGGCAGTTTCTGGGCCTAAATTCTCCTTGGATCCTGCAACAACAAATCAGAAGTAATTGTAGAAAGGCACAAAGAAACCCACATGCAGCTTCAATGACTGTCACCCTAACTATTTTGCCCTGGTCTACAGTAGGGAGTTATTTCAAAATAACCCCCCTATTTAGAAATAATAAGCGGAACGTCCACACTACCAAGCCCATTATTTCAAAATAACAGGACTTATTTTGAAATCTATACTCCAGCTTTCCTCAGCGAATAATGATTATTTCATTTCAAAATAATGTGGACACTATGCTGCTGCTATTTTGAAATAACTACTCCCCAGAGTAGGGTTGCCAGGTGTCTGGTATTCACCCGGACAGTCCGGTATTTTCAGCTCCTGTCTGGTAAAAAAAATTCAGAGAATACCGGATACCTAAGATGTCTGGTATTTTCTGAATTTTTCCCTGGCCAGGCAGTGAAAATGCTGGGCACCTGGCAACCCTACAAACACTCAGCTCCCAGCCCCCAGTGACCCCAGCCCCCATGCTTACCTAGTTCCCCAAGGCTCCTGGCACAAAATGGCTGCCAGCCAAAAGACCTAGGGGAAGCAATGCTTCTCCCGTTCCTATCCCTGCACTCACTGTTAAAGGGGACATGCTGTTTTAATGCTGTTTTATTTTAATTTTTTTTTTTTTGGCTTAATAAGTCCTTGGAGTCCTTTTCTCTCTCTCTCTCTTTCTCTCTCAACAACTTTGGTCTCTCCCCCCCCCCCCCTTTTTTTTTTTCTCCTTCAACAGAATTTTTCCTGGTGTTTTTTTTGGGGGGGGAGGGTCGGTATTTTTGTTTCAACCATCTGGCAATGCTACCCCAGAGTAATTTGAAGTATTTACTCCCCAGTGCTTCCTGGAGCTGTAAGTCGAGGTAGCATGTCCACAATAATAGAGCCTGCCTCGTACAAATTTTAAGGCTCCCCCGTATTGGGGACATGTTATTTCGGTTTTGTTATTTCAGGAGTTATTCTGAATGTAGCTATTTCAAAATAATTTCCTAGTGTAGATATGGCCTTACAATAACACTGCGATATACACATGGCAAAGTCCTCTAATAGAATTTACCACAACGATTTTATTAGGGGAAAACACCCTATACAGCAAGAGACTTGTTACCACACAGTCATTTTGCAGTCTTCTCTGACAAAGAGTAAAAGCTCCACCATTTGAGCACCATCTTTTTCTAAATGTCACAATAGAAAATATTAGCTTACAATCCTCAGACCTTAATGCGTGAATAAAATGGGTCACATAATGGAGTCTGAACTGAAGGCCTTTCCATGACTGCTTAGTTCAGGCCAGGATGTGAGCCCCAGCAGCACAGGTTCTGCTGAATTATTCTGGGAGATGGAGAACTAAAGACACAGTCTGCGTCTGGCAGCTTCAAGAAAAGAACCACCATTGTATGCATTACAAGAGAGTTTTGTCTCCTCTGTATTGCGTGCAGGGCTGCGCAGCAAAGTTGAGATTTATGCAAAGTAAGAGCTAGGGTAGAGGTGGTCACAATATGACCCATGAAACAGATCCAGCCCATGGATGCCCTGGCAGGGGGTAAAGTGAGAGACTTTGTGAACTCCTCTGCCCCTAACCCCTGAGTGGCCTGAGGACAGTGGAGTGTACGAAGTCTCCTTCCCCTCGTCTGCCAGGGGCACATGGCACATAGAGGAAGCTGCCAGCTGTTCAAATTGTTGACAGTTCCCTCTACCTGCCTTGCAACCCTGGGAGGAGGCAAGAGAATTTGTGCACTCCCCTGCTCTCAGCCCCTACTCCCAGCTGTGATGATTGGCGTGGAGGCAGGGGAGCACACAAATTCCCTTAATCCCCAGGGACTCATGGCCCTGAGCAGCACATGGAGGGAACCTATGTGGCTGGGGCTGTTGCAGGAGGGACCCTGCCTCAGGAACCCTGTTGGATTGCTGGCTGGGAGCCACCTAAGGTAAGTGACTCCTGGCCACAGCCTGCCTCTGGCACCTCAGCCCCTCCCACTTCCTAACACCCTGCCCCAGGTCACAACCCCTTACTTCACCCAAACTCCCTCTCCGACCCCATGCCCGCTTCTGAATCCTGAGCTCCCTTCTGCACCCAACCTCTGTCCCTTAGTGTGGCCCTTGACCACTTTCCAAAACCTTGGAGTGGCCCCCAATCAAAAATTATTGCCCACCCCTAATTGAGATGCTGCTGCTTATAGAGATAGGAGTCAAAGTGCTCATGTGGGCCTAAAGTTCATTCAGGGGCATTCAGATGCACAGTGGTGGTTTTGATCCATTTGCTCATGTTAAACCATCATTAACTTTGTGCACATGAACACTCATGAATTCCCTTTCTTCCTTCTTCTCCTGCTCTAAAGAGGATAAACACTGTGAAAACCCAAGCAAATACATGAGATTACTATCATGTTTCCTGTTTCTCATCCATAAGCCAAGAAAAACCCAAGAGCTTTACCATCATTTTTTTTGATTAGCTTGATTTTTACTTCTTGAACGAGAGACTAATTGCTGTGGTTAGAAGGATGAAAGAAAATTCTCCTTTATAAGTTCTGACAAGCCTCATTCTAACTGTATCTGAATAAATGCCTTCTATTTGTTTTAAGGATGTAATAGTGTAGTCAATTAACGATAAGCAAAGGGTTATAGGTTAATGCTATAAACTACACGCGTTCCCCCCAGTCCCCACCAGCAATTTTTTTTAGTAGGCTGGCCAGCAGCCCAGCTCAGTCATACCTTGGGTCCAGGACCTACCCCCCACTGCAGCTCTTCATTTAAAGTGTACTAGGAGCCACGCGGGCAGGCATCCCAGTTCAGTTCTTGCTTGTGCCAGGTCTGTGAGCTCAGCTGCTCCGGACAGTGGCTGCTGCCACCCTGCACTGCTGCCTTTGTGTCAGAGGCTGCAGGGCAACAGGCAGCCAGTCCATGAGGGGAGCTGGTTTTTAAACTGAGTGTCAGGGGGTTCCTCAGGAGGGGGCTGGAACACACTGGATGGCAGCCCCACTCCTGGGGACTGCAGAATAGTCAAGTAACTGATAAGAATTCATAAGGTTAATCAACTAGTCAATTAACTGATATTTAACATTGCTAATTTGTTCCCTGGAAATGTCCTGGTCTTACATTTTATTTTATTTTACATATTTCACAGTTATTAATATTTTGGATACATGCATTAGCCCAGTGGTCACCAACCAGTAGTTCAGGATCTACCGGTAGATCTTTGAGTCTCTGACAGGGGATCCTGACTGGTTTGGCCAGGAAGCTCTCAAGTGCTGGCACTTTAGTTGCCCCTCCCCCACTGTCATGCTGCTCCTTGGAAGCCTCCTGCTTGCTGTGCAGGGTGTGGGAGGGAGAAGGGGTGTATGTGTGCTGATATCAGGGTATCCTCCCTCCCCCAAATCCTGTACCCCATCTCCACACAGAGAGAAGGGGTGGAGGGAGCATGGCAATGCAGATCTCTGTCACTCTTACACAATGTGTCTGTCTGTCACTCTCACAAACACAACTGTCCTTCCCTCTCCTGACCCAGCACATACATGGGAGTTGTTACTACTTTACTGCTTGCAAAGTGGGTTGTTTTTAGCGTTTGACTGGTCTGTGCATTGCATAACTTTCATTTCTCTCTTATGCCTAAATTTAATTCTTTGAGTACTAATGTACCTAACTTATTATGTCTGGAGTAATTATCCCTGTGGTTAGTTGTGCTCCTAGAGGTGGCTGGCATGTCCCTGTAGCCCCTCGAGAGGGTTAGAGCAGGGGTTCTCCACATGTTGTTCTTGCCAGCAGCTACCACCCCTAGAGCTCTCATTGATCAGTGAGGGAGAACTGTGGCCCGTGGAGGTTGCAGGCTCAGTGCCTGTGGGATAGCACATGGAGCCATTACTATACATTCTAGCTGCTTGTGGGGGTGGGGCTACCTTGGTTCTGCTGCTCTATAGCTGGGGCAACTATCTAGCTGCTCTGAGGATGGATAGGACTTGAACCCACCACTCTGTACTCCCTATGCAACTTCCCTGTCCCCTAGTCCACTCCAGAGGCTATACCACCTTACTGCTGTCAGAGGGTCCCTTATCCTGTGTCTGGTCACTCCCAGGCTGGGCGGAGGGGGTGGCTTGAAGGTAGGGAGGTGCAGTGGCATCTCCAGAGAACTTGGGGATGGGCACCAGCCTCTGGAGCACAGGGCGGGTGGGCTCAATCCCACCCCTCTCCACCCACTCAGGCAATGGCTGGGCTGCTAACACAGGCTGCCTGGGGGATGAGCCTGGCTCCTGTATTAGGAAGGCAGGATAAGGGACCTGCTGAAGGTAAGGCAGTGAGGTGGGTTGTGCAGTGGCTTAGGAAATAGGGTGTTCAAGCCCCAAGTCCCCCTGCACACCCTGGGAGCAACCAGACACAGGACAAGGGACCACCCCAAAAGAGGGTGGGAGGTGGGGTGGGTTCTTGAGTGGACTAGAAAATACAGCACCTGCCCAAGCTGGACCTCTTGGAAATAGTGATCATAATATAATTACATTTAACATCCCTATGGTGGGAAAAACACTACACAACAGTCCAATACTGTGATATATCATTTCAAAAGGAAGAGGTTAGTTAAACAGAAATTAGAAGATTCAATGCAAAAAGAAAAATCCCTGCAAGCTGTATGGAAACTTTTCAATGACACCAAAATAAAAGCTCAACTTAAATGTACACCTAAAGTAAAAAACACAGTAAGCAAATGAAA